TATGGTATGGGTTTTTCTCATTGATGAAGGCCGTACGGTTGCCTATAATTGCTTACATCAACTTCGTTTGAACTTTGGTGGATAGTTGTCTCATCATACCACATCTACTTATTTTTATATTGTTGTTTGATTACTTTAAACCGTTGTATGATTTATCAGTAGTTTCCAACATAAATGTTACCAGTATAGTTGAAAAAAAGATGTGAATTGTATGTCATTAAGACGGCAACCTAAAGATACATAATAAGCAAAAGACACCCAGAAGTCAACATACAGTCTTCAACAATAAACAATTCTTAATCTACGAGATTTGAACATTAGTAAACTACTGTCGCTTTAATTTCCGAAGAAATCAATTAGTGGTACTTAAATTGCATTGCTATTGTTAGTATTTGGTACACATATCAAAACTTAAATGTTAATTATGCCATATTACAATGTTTTCTATATCCTAATTTTCAAAGTTTTTGGTAGGAACCTTTTACGAGCGACCCTGTCGACGCACACGTCTCGCTACTTTTAGAGTTCATGCTATTCTCTCAGTTTCGGTGTTACCTTGATCTGTCTCTTCCTAGTCGAATTACGAGATTTAAACATCGATGAACTACTGTCGAATTAATTTATGAGGATTAACAATGGTCATTAACTGATTAATTATATAAAGACGCACTTTATTCTATTAATAATCAAAACCAGTCAAGGGAAAAACCATGAAACTGCCTAATTTAGGGTGGTGTGAATCGAACGAGGATACTTAAAACAATCCTAAGATATGTAATAGTACAAACAATTAAGCTCATCAAACTCTATCTCTTCGTGGAGATAAGAGTTTTTGAATCCTCTATCCTTTTTACAAGTTTTACATATCTTTATTACGTATTACTTGAAGCATATGGAAAGAATAAGACCAACTCTGTTATATAAAAACTATATAATAGGATAAATTTTACTTTGAAACAAACACTCTGGGTATAACATAAAGATATCTGACATGACATCATCAAGATGACTAATTTCTTATGACAAGATATGTATTACGGTTTAAGAAAAATTTCAATTGGGAACAAACTGTGCTCCTCTTCTCGCTGACGTAATCCTTAATTCGTATGAGGCAGAATGCATGCAAGGGCTTCTAACAAAAAGGGTAAGAAACTTTCATTATATTTTCACTTCACATTTCGCTATATAGATTTTGTATTGTTGCCGAATAATTTAAAGAGTAATGTCTACGTTGATCGCATCTATTCCATTCCAATAAGGATACTGCAGATACAGTTAGGTGTGTTTTATATCTTGACTGACACTTAGAAACTGTTATTAAGGGTCTGTTCAATACTTAACATGTTCCTTATGTCGTAACTACAATACCCTCCCTTTTCACGGATGTGACTTACCGAATTAGACTATTTACCGGATTTGTAATAACATAAGCAACACGACGGGTGCCACATGTGGAGCAGGATCTGCTTACCCTTCCGGAGCACCTGAGATCACCCCCAGTTTTTGGTGGGGTTCGTGTTGCTTAGTCTTTGGTTTTCTATGTTGTGTCATCTGTACTATTATTTGTCTGTTTGTCTTTTTATTTTTGGCCATGGCGTTGTCAGTTTGTTTTCGATCTATGAGTTTGACTGTCCCTCTGGTATCTTTCGTCCCTCTTTTTTAACTTTACGATCAAGAAAACAACTGTAATTTTCCCAAGAGGAAGTTTTTATGTAACAATATTCTTTGTAGAAATTGCTTATGCAGAATATTTCTACCAGTTGATATGATAGTCCGGGTCTTGCGTTTTCTATCATGACTTCCTTGATAGAAGGTTGCTGCTTACAGGGAAAATTTTGAGCCATGGTTTCTTAATGGTAAAATGGAAGTTATATTTTAGAGAGTTTTACGGACACAGTCATTTAGTCGACCGTTATAAGATATCTGTGCCGCAGATGACAACGCATATGTTTCCTCGATAGAGGATTACTCCGTATATGGAAGCTATTGAACCAAGGGGTCTTATAGTAATATCGAAGTCATCACTTAGAAATTTTAACAGACCATTTCATGATTTGGTTGACCGTAATGGATTACGTGTTTCACAGATGATCACGGATATGTTGTGATCACCCTCAGTTTTTGGTGGGGTTCGTGTTGCTCAGTCTTTAGTTTTCTATGTTGTGTTTTGTGTACTGTTGTTTGTCTGTTGGTCTTTTCCTTTCTAAGCTATGACGTTGACAGTTTATTTTTGACTTATGAATTTGAATGTCCTTTTGGTATCGTTTGCCTCTCTTTTGTAACTGTCGTAGAAGCAATCCAGTCCTCCTTTTCACGATTATGCATCTAATAACAATAATACTAACCATAAACAGTTCGACAGGTGCCCCTAGTAGAACAGGATCTTTCCAGAGCACACGAGATAACCCCTGTTTTATAGTGTGGTTCGTGCTTCTCATGCGATAGTTTTTGTAGTGTAGTCTTTTTTATACTGTTGTTTGTCTTGGTTATTGATGTGTGTGTTTCTAATTTTTGTTTAAATCGTGTCATCATCGTAACAATGAACAATTAAGGGAGTTGTTTGCCAAACACCTAAAATATCGAAATTCCAGCCATTCAACAACAAGAAACACGTTAGGCAGTTGTAACACAAGGGTTTAAATATTGAAGTACACAGCCCATCAACTGGATGAACGCTATAGGTTACTAATGGATGCAGATGAGGACTATGCAAGAAAAAAAGCAAATCGCTAGCAAAGAAACCAAAAAAATCTATCTGAATTGATCAAAGAATCGTGGTCATGCATTCAGGTGCACATTTAATTTTAGATACAAATTCCTTGTTTTAGGCCATGAAAAATCTTACTTTTCATGTCATTTCTTGTTTTTGTTATCTTGATCCATAAGATTTCAATATCGTTAACCTAATATTGCCTATATTTGTGAAGAACCACACTAATTCAAACGGCATATACACCGAAGATTGGTATCACCAAAATGCCTGACATTATGATCGACAACATATTTGTTGAGTATGGTGGATTAATATGTCAACAGACAATCTATATCACAATGGGTACAAATTGTGCACCCCCTACAATCCGACTTGTTTTTCTACTCATATGAAGCAAATCTAGAACCTCCTTAAAGACAAACAAACAAAAAAGATCTTTTATTTTTATTTCAGATATATTAATGATTTCCTGTCACTCAATAAAAAATTATTTCAGTGAGTGATTGTATCTTCAATACAACCTTAACAAGAAGGTCTGCATCATATCTTAACCTTTCATTCAATATTGACACATATGGTCGGCAGCAAATTATAGTCTGACAAACGTGATGATTTCAACTTCCCGATTGTCAATATCCCATTTATCGTGCTTGTTCACACTATAAAGACTTCATTAACAAGGATGTGCTGTAATATTAAAACTGTTCCAACAGAGTTATGTGGGAAAACGACTGATATCGACACTCATAATTTTTACTGTCAACATCACGGATTGGTTGACCGATACGATGTGTCTGTGTCTAAACTCACTAACGACATGTTATCGCTGCCATTAATCTTTGGTTACAAGAAAACTAATTTTATCTGTAATGTTGTTCATTCTAGCATTTTGACTGAGTATGGATTGGCATGGCTGTTGATGCTTCCATAATAGCAGGAAACTCTAACACTGTCGACTTGAACATCAGTAAACTACTGTTGCCTTAATTTATGGTCTTTCATTGTCTATTTGGTATCTTTTGTGCTCTTTCTTATATTTACAGAAGCTAACATTACGCCAGCCTCTTTGTAATTAAAACATGTTGAAAGTTGACCCTAAAAGAGTTTGGCATAACTATTTATTATAATTCCAGTAAATGCTTATCGTGTTTGGCTTTTCAAACGTTAATTGGTGTAGAGCATACATAATTTAAAAAAAAATAAGAAATGCGAATCACACGATTCCATTAAACTATTTATAATCAAATAATCAAATAATGATTTCACCTTAAATCTATAATGCATAAATGTTTTTAACAAGAAAAGTATTTTATCAACTACCAAGATTATTCCTCCTCATGATAAATTAATTTAAGAAATAGTAAATAGATTTCTGTTAAAGTTAACGAGTGACGACGACGGACGACAGAGGACGACGACGACGGAAGACCGAGGATGGACGACGACGGAAGACCGAGAAAGGTCGAACAACGGAGGCTGATGACATTGATGGACGACAATAGACGCTAGGTGATGGAAAAAGCTCACACTGGATCTTTGGGATACATGAGTTAAAAAACAGCATTTATTTTCTTAAACCTACAACAAAATGATAGTCATATTTGTTTACCAATTGTATCGACGAACTACTAAAGAATGAGAAGGTGTAAATGTATCTAGAGGGCACAGTACGAATGACATCGAACCCTAAGACAGCTCTAGTTCAAGTTGTTTCGCCGCTGTTCTACACTGAATGAAAGAAAACATCGGTCCGGGAAAGAATCGATCACACCATGGAGTTTGGAAAAAGATATATTAAACATTGAGACAGTTGTGCAGGCAAACAAGAAAAATGTAAATGAACAGCTACGAATTAAAACTTAATCTTTACTTATGAAACTTCCAACAAAATCTTCAGTAATATTAGGTGCTCCAGAAGGGAAAGTTTATCCTGCTTTGCATGCAAACCCTGCTGTGCAATCAAATAGAATAATAACTCAAATTGAAAGGGTTAAAATCAGTTGCAAGACGTCCAAGCACTGAGGGAAATGTGTATACCGTATTTATTTTACAAACTGGCCAGATAACGATATGCAAATTCATGTTTGAGACTTTAAATTCTGTTTGGTTAAATATAGTATTTTATTTTCTTCTTTCTTTTGATAAATTAAAATGTCGAAATTTCAGTCATAGAATTCTGGTTTGTGTGTTATATTCAAATTAGGCTGAACGTTTTTTTCGGGTATTCCACGACGAATAAATACATATTTGTCATGCCGAATTTGACTATATTAGACTCATTACTGGCGGAAATATATGATGCAACATATCACATGAAAATGACATTTCTGTTGTTTCTATGTGCCCTTAGTGTAAATCGGTCATTCCAGATTGCAGCTTCTTGACACGTTTGGCACCAATACGTCTTCCTAATCTGTTAAAATAATAAACACAAATAAATAATTGGCATAACACATTATAATATTCAAAACCGTGTTCTTCATTATGTGGCATTCCATCTGCATAACGATTACGAATACTGAATAATTCAAGTTAATACAATGCCGATATTCAAGAGCTTGTGTTCCATTTTCGAGTTCTTTTAGAGTATGAATGGTTACACGGAAGCTGTTGAAACAACGGTTATTCCTTGTAAGGTTGGATGAATATATTCGACATTTTATTCTCTCTCGATAATAATCGTTCGCGTATTTTAACAAAATGAAAACGGTTGGTGTGACCAGTGGAAAAGGAACTTATGACCCATCCAGGGTGTCGGAGTTCAACACCAGTTTTTGTCTGTATCACTTTGCGCCATTAATCGTTTAAAATTTGTATCAATTGCTCCACTGTCCATATTTTGGGTTGTATTAACTGGTGCAATAAACGGAATCAAATTGTGCCATATATACATGTATATCATTCACCTTAATACATGTAATAACAAAAACGCTCTCAATTTTACTACATCAGATGCACATTCCGACAATCAATTTCTCGTCAGTGATGCTCTACAGTAGGCAGTAAATTTCAATAAAACAGCATTAGTATTTAAGCCAATACCTCCTCTTGGGCTTCCGTGTTATGTAATGATTCGAAAAAAGGGATAATCGTATTAGGATTTGAAGACAAAATGAAATATTTATTTTATAAAGAAGTCACAATCTAATAATATCTTAAAGTGAAAGCAAATAACTGAACACTCTTCCAAATAAAGAATACTTGTTAGAGATCATAGATTCCGTTAATCAATCATTAAGAATATACTTAAAAAAGATGGGGATGTATGGGAAAGTCTTAATCGGATATGTAATTTAGTCTTTTACAATTAATTTGAATCATTAATAAGACATATACATGACACAGTTAAACAAAACTAGAAAGACAGATCTTGAGAACAACATGCAAAATAAAAGCAGTGGATATGCTATCTGAGCAACCTTGCAAGATAATTATAAGAATTTTAAATAAGAAAGGTCTGAAATATGTTCACCAGTCCATGTATATGGGAGGTAGCAAACTGCATCCATCTCAGAAAAAAACGAACAGAATTCCTCAGTATTCTTGAAGGTACTGTTGTGGTACAAAACGATGATTTTGCGCTAAGTAATAATTTGAAAAAAAGGGATAATCTTATTTCGATGTGAAGTCAATTTGTAATTTTTATTGGTGGAGGGAAGTCATTAATTAAATAATATGTAAAAGTGAGAACGAATAGTTTGTCAATTGAAGAGTTTATGTTTATGTGATCGTTTGGCGCAAATGAAGAAACCTATATTTGCACAAATATCACTTTGGCGCAAAAAACTGAGAAATGAATGCGTTTTTGGAGCAAACGAATATCGTATGCTTTTTGTTTGGGTTAGATGTGTTGTGCAATCAATTTGTTTTTCTTTGTACTGTGTTGTGGACTTTTGTTTGAGTTATAAGTCAATGTGGTTGTCTGCTGTTTGTCAACCTACAGTTGTTTATTTCCCATGGCATCTTCTCTTTTTTATAGACAACATTATGACTTTGCTGATTAATATGAACTATATACGTGTCCAAAATGACATCGAATATTTCCCGACTGTGACAGTCGAAATCTCGTGCTAAAACATCATCATTTATTTGCCCGACTTTGGCTATACTTGTTTGTGATTTTTAGTTTATAAGCTCGTCATTGTTTTTATAAGCTTTGGGTTTTTGAATATTTTGTCGAAACATACTGAATGAATTACCTCGTCAAACTTCGTTGTAGAGATAAAAAAAATGTATTCCGTTTTCTCATATGATTTTTTTTCAATCGAAATCGGAGCTAGAAACATCGAATCGAATCGATTAGATTTGAATTATTTTAAGTAATGAATTTGTGATATTCCATCTGATTTTGTTTTAATTGTCTCCGTTTGTAACCATTCAAACGGAATACAGTGTTGCGGTAGAAGATACAATTGGCAAATTGAGTTGCTAGAAAGCATTTGGAACACTGTGAGACATCCAATGAACAAATTATCTCCCAAAAGTGATATCTCTACAGAGTTGGTCAGCTGTTCTCCTAAATAAAGTATCGTATTTCTTATGAAGCAAGTGTATGTTGATTTGTAATTGACGTTTCGTTGACTCAAGAAGAAAATATAAATTTCTTTATAAAAAAGGCTGCAGTGTAAAATTCCACCAAAAAAAAAGCCAAAAGTAAAAATAAATTGCAATAAAATGCTACGCTGGGCGCAGCTTGATACGACTGCAGAGGTCGAACCCTGAACAGTTGGGGCAAGTATGGACACAACATTCAAGCTTGATACAGCACTGAATTTGGATTGTGATTAAATATTTGACACAGCATAGGTTTCTGACACAGAATGAATGTGGTCTAAGAACTTAAACAATTTTAATTTACCTATTCAAACCATATCATTATTATTTGCTTTTATATATAAATCAGAAATAACATTTAAAATGGAAAATTTTAAAGAAAAAAAATAGGAAAAAAAAAATCCCCCCCAATTTTTTGAAACCCCTTATGATTCATCATCCCCAAACTCAATCCCAGCCTTCCATTTGTGGTATGGTACCTTGCAGTACAATTTCAGAGAGATCCATACACATGAACACAAGTTATTGTCTGGAAACTAGAAAAATGCTTGTTTTTTTTTGCCCATTTTTTGCCCCAAATTCCTAAACATTTAGGGCAATTACCCTCAAACTCAAACCCAGCTTTCCCTTTGTGGTATGGAACCTTGTAGTACAATTTCAGAAATATCCATAGACTAACACACAAGTTATTGTCATGAAACTAGAAAAATGCTTGTTTTTTGCCCCTTTTTTGGCCCCTTATTCCTAAATTTTTGAGGCAATTACCCAAAAAAAAAAATTCAAGCATTCCCTTTGTGATATGGAACCTTGCAGTACAATTTCAGAGAGATCCATACACTTGAACACAAGTAATTGTCTGGAAAATAGAAAAATGCTTATTTTTTGCCCCTTTTTGGCCCCTTATTCCTAAACGTTTTGGGCAATTACCCCCAAACTCAATTCCAGCTTTCCCTTTGCGATATGAAACCTTGTAGTACAATTTCAGAAAGATCCATAGACTTACACACAAGTTATTGTCATGAAACTAGAAAAATGCTTGTTTTTTGCCCCTTTTTTTTGTCCCTTATTCCTAAATTTTTGAGGCAATTACCCCCAAAATCAATCCAAGCATTCCCTTTGTGATATGGAACCTTGTGGTACAATGTCAGAGGGATCCATACACTAACACACAAGTTATGTCTGGAAGTTACAAAAATGCTTATTTTTGGCCCCTTTTTGGCCCCTAATTATTTAACTGTTGGTACCATAACCCCAAAAATCAATCCCAACCTTCCTATTGAACCTTATGGTAAAATTTCATAGAGATCCATTCACTTAAACTAAAGTTAAAATGCGAAAACCAATGTGTCTTCGGACGACGACGACGCCAACGTCATACCAAAATTTTGCGGTCGTATAAAAATTACAAAAATTTGTCAAAATAAAAAAAAATGTTTAGCCAAACTGTCCAAAAACTCAAATTTGCCGAAACCAAAAAAAAAATGTATGTGACAACGCGCAGCAACATCGGTGTTGAAAGGTGAATTTCTTCATAAGAATTTTTCAATTTTACACCCAGGTATAAAAAATAGTATGATTTAAATTTGTTTTCTTGGTGTTTACGGAATTTTATAATATATTTTCAACACCGGTGTAAAATTCCGTACACCCCTGATTACACCAAGATAACTAATAATATCATCAAGATATTTATGCGGTATGTTTAACGCTATAAAATGCTTTACACGTTCCTGTTTCTGATTAATATTCTACTAATTTACACAAAGCCCCACATTTTTTTTACAAACTACAATATTAAGATCGCTCAGTTCTCAGCTACTTAACAGAGCCAATAAAGTAGAAAATCATTAAAAAATAAATGCTTTATACAATATCTAAAATTTAAATTAGAAATTATATAATATAAATGCCTGTGGTCGTTGTACACATTGAGATAACCCCTTCTAAAAAGGATGACCTGTTGGCATAGGCATCGGCATAGGTGTAAGCGTCGGTATCGAATAGTTTTCGAAAATGTCAATAGGACCGCTATGGGCTTAGTGCGGGAATTCAACCATCGTTAAAATAGAAAAAATAAATACACAGTGAGCTATAACCAAAGGGTGTTTATGGAGTAGCTAAAACGCTTGAAGGGTGGTTTAAAGAAGTTGGAACTTCAACTTTTAAGCTATATCACTTATAGCACTCAGAAAGGGTATATCAAATTAAATGTTGTATATGTGTTTTCAGTAGTAGATTAATTGATTGATTTCTGTTTGCTTTACGCCGCATAAATTCAAAAAGGCTATATCGAGACGAGAGCTTAATAAAGTAGTTATTCTGCAATAAAAGCAAATAAGAAAAATTATACCTTCTTGTTATAGTAGGAAAATATTGGTATAAATATAAAAAGAACAGTTCTGGGTTTCCTGATAACCAAACTTCGTCTAAATCATTTCCCATAGCTACAGACATAAGATAAGCACATCGTTCAGCGGTCATTCTTTTCTCTGTATTTTTCATTTCTACTCCCAATGTCTAAAAATCAATATATTAATCTTATAACAAATGGTTTATGTTTCAAACATTGAATTCCTTTATGCTTACGTCTTTATTAATAAATCATTCTTTATCTAACAAATGCTAATTTAATTGGTGTACATAGCACGGATTTCATATCATTTTCTTTCATCAACAATGTACTTTTCTGCTGGTCATATTTCAGTAATTTTTTTTTATTTACGGAGTAGCCTAATATAGTTTGTCTAGAACATATTGCCAATTGTTTTTTTTTAATGTTTTGTTAAATTCCACACAGTTCTATTTGTTTTTATTGTTAAAATATTTTGTGTTCAAATACAAACTGATTTGTGATCAATGCCCTATTCTAGTTTTGAACTTCTTCAGAAAATCTATTTTTTTAATACCAAATTTAAATTTAATGCATATAAAACATGAGTAACTCAAACGCAGAAAGATTTTCCTGATCTTACCTTTTCGCGACTTTCAGTAAACGCATGCAGCAATGCCTCTGAGAATACTGGACCTGGACAAACCATTGTTACATTAACATTATAATTGTATCCTTCTATACGCAAGGCTTCGAACCAACCCTTAAAGAAAATATAGTGCATAGAAAAATTATTATGGTCCTATATACACTATCTAAACAAGAGTGAACACGCTGAAATGTTTCACCTGTTTTACTTATCATTGCATTTCTAATTGGGAACAACCACGAACTACTTGAATTCATGTTGATAGTCTGTAAAATGAAGGTTTTACTACAATTATCTGTATTCAAGGTATGAAGCATCCAAGTATTTTACCTTCTGAAATATAAACCTTTAAACAAATACTTTATGCTGTCGCCGTCGCGCCGGATTGTAATCGAATTTGTATGCTAGTAAATGAAACAAACCTAAAGTGATGTATTACCTGTTGACGATGAGGGAACCTGGTGTGAAGGAGTAGAAGGGCTAGAAGGTGTGAACGAATCAAACCTAATGTGTTTGCATCGAGGATGTGACAGAATCTAAGCTTGCATAATGGAGTAGTCAATCTTAACAATCATGACATGATAGTGTTTAGACTTGTATGGAATTAATTCAAACGTACCAAGACTTACATGTAAGGCATGTTTTGACCCACTATAAGAACCTAGTCCTGGTGCTCCTAAAATGCATTGACAAGAACATTGTTAAATTTGGTAATCGCATTCAGGAATATACACAAAAACATGAAACATTGTATGTACATATAGATCTTAAACTGATACTTGATTCCAGTAAATAGACGACGTGAAATGAAAAATGGTAAAACAGCAAAAATTAGTAGCTCTTTTCGCAAAAACAATTCTTACGACTATTATTGATTGAAGTTATTTCAAGTTGTTCATAACAAACGAATCAAACGGTTTTGCTCCTTTTGAAGTTCATGTCATTCCCACATGTGTTTTCGCTTGGTTTGTTTATTTGAAATGGATTTTTGCGAGAAATGGATTTTAAAATTTGTGAGATTTGAACATCGGTAAACTACTGTTGCCTCTTAATTATCCTCAAGTAATAGAATTGTTGGAAAGAGTGGAGAATATTCACCATGCACCATTTTTCTATCTACATATTACTAAAATTGGGTCAATACCTCTGCTGATGAGATCTTAGTCCCCAAGTGTATTACTAGACCGACAGCTCAGCACTTCAGTACTGGCATGAAAATGCGGATTTTGTTTTATTTAAATTTTATTGTGGTTAAATTTACATAATCACTTGAAACTAATGACTGTGAAGCTCTGATTCTGTGTTCGGTTTTGGCAAAACTGTTGGTTTTTTTATTGTATCAGGTCTTTAACGTTTTGGTTAGCTGTAGGTTTCAAATATTTTGGCCTCGAGAATCACTTAAGAGACACTAATTGTTAAAATGCGTATGTGGTTCAATAACTAATTTGATAATATAATGCAATATAAAATCCTTTAAATAAAGCTTTTATAACTCTACACAACCTAAAAGTTTGTTATCTATATGACAATTCGATCTTATAAGTGAAAAGTAATTTAAAAAAAAGTACATGAACATAGATTATCTTCATACCTAACTTTCCCGCCAAACTACTTGTAATTACAATCCTTCCATAGTTTTGTCTAATCATTTGTGGTAAGACACATTTTGTTAGTGACAGAAGGCCGAGAACGTTTACATTTAACATTGCTTTATCAACTTCAAGACTTGTTTTCTCCCATAATGCTCTCTGTGATCGACCAGCATTATTGACAAGCACGTCTATCTGGAAAATAGAAAAAAGTTCAAAGGTTTTTTTTTCCAACTTTTTAGCAATTAAAATGTGTAGCCATATACACATTTATACTTCTTCTTCTTCTTCCGAATACTTGCATAGTACTATTTTATATTCATTTTGATTTAGTAGTACTTTGATTCAAACAGAATCATGTACATATTGGCAATAGTCAGAAAGCATTTCGGATATCAGTATTTGTAGTGATGCTTCTAAAGCTTATTTAGTATAGCAACTGAAGGATTCTTTATCGTAAAAATATAATACGAAAATCATACTTTCCGGTGGGAACTTACTGTACCCCTTGTATCGCTGAAAATTCCTTAACTATAATGGATCATAGTGCATGGTAAAAAATTAAAATTATCCAACATAACACAACTTGATAGATATAACTAACAATATCTAGACGATTTATTTTCTGTAAACAATTCATATTTTTCAAAATAAATATAAGGAATTTATCTATTTCTTCAGACACTGATATCAGAATTACTCATGGTTATCTTAATATAAAATTTTCTGATAATCGGAACGATTTTCCATTCCTTGAACCTGATGTTCCATTTGATCCTTCTTATGGAATGTACCGGTTGATTCTATATGAGCATGTTAATAGTGACATCTGGGATTTTAATTAACGCTATATTTTCATTATCATTTTTTTGGCAGAGATATAGATGTCATAGATTGGTCAAACCTTTTACTTAATTTTATAACAAATAAAGATATCTTTTGTGGGGAAACATCTAACTCCTTTGTTTTATTAATTTTGTATTTACATTGTGTCATAGATCAAATTCATTCGTTCAGTGTATGTTCACTTGTTTTTGTTAATATGTCTTTTGATTGAGTTAAGCCATTTCAATTGATATTTTATAGTGCGTCTTTCTATGTTGTGATGTTACACTATTGGTTCAGGTTGGGTGAAGGTTGGCTCCTATTAAAACGTTTAAACCCGCTGCATTTGTTTGCACCTGTCCTAAGTCAGGAACCTGATGTTCAGCGGTTGTCGTTTGTTGATGTGGTTCATAAGTGTTTCTCGTTTTTTATATAGATTAGACCGTTGGTTTTTCTGTCTGAATGGTTTTACACTAGTCATTTTTTGATACCTTCATAGCTTGCTGTTTGGTGTGAACCAAGGCTCTGTGTTGCAGGTCGTACTTTGACCTATAATGGTTTACTTTTACAAATTGTGACTTGGATGGAGAGTTGTCTTATTGGCACTCATACCACATCTTCTTTTATCTAGAATCATGTGCAAAACAGTGTAGCCGAGACCATTGATTGGCGCGCTAAAATATCCCATTGACTGGGTCAGATTAGGTGAACGTTCGTCTGTAACGCCCACAACTCACGACGTATTTATTATAAACATTTAAACTGTGGGGTCACCAAAGGGTCTCAACGCCTAAATAAAATAATTCGAAAAACTAATCAGGAATAACCTTTGTGTTTTGATTTATGTTGAATACTTAAACGTTCTTTACTTGTGTTTTTGTTATGTTTTGATAATGAATTTTTATGATATCGGACGTTCTTTCAGCAAAAAAGGATTTAACTGGCTTTAAAAGTTACAATGGATGTGTTGATTATTATCTTTTTTCGGACGTCAAAGCGATTTAACAATTGCGGTTGTCCAATTATGTCATCTTTAAACTTTTATCTGGTCAAAATATTATTTTAGAACGAATGCATGATCAACTTTAAAAAGTGTGCAAAGACAAAACATATAGACAAAATATACTTCTTTCCTGTCTTTTTCGTACTTGCAAGTTATTAGACAGTAAAAAGGCTATTTGGATCAAGCCGTGTGAAATTTGCATTTACGTTTTTGAATAGGTAAAATGTATAGTTTGGTGATCTTTTCTGCTAACTACTATACTTGTGAAAAAACCTTGGCAACAGAAACATATTCAGCTTTTTTTTTAATCGACCCAATTTACATAGTAATAAACGACTTCGTACATTTTATGATCGCAAATAAAATATGTATATAATATACTGTGCACGGTAGTTCGTATATATACTGAGACCCTTTGGCAACCCCATAGTTTAAATGTTTATAATAAATACGTCGTGAGTTGTGGGCGTTACAGACGAACGTTCACCTAATCTGACCCAGTCAATGTGATATTTTAGCGCGCCAATCAATGGTCTCGGCTACACTGTTTTGCACATGATTCTATATATGACCCACCTGCCGGAATTTAATTTCAAAATGGAGTATTTCGCATCCAGTTTAGGAATAGTTGTTTTGTAGACTTATTGATAAAATAATAATTATAATTGGGTTGGTGTCTCATTGGCATATACCGAACATCTAGTTTTATTCATATTTCAAACATGTGATAAATAGTATACGCTGATGTATGTGATAATGACTGGTGTGTGTCCCGGGGAAGAGTTCAATGAAACCTTTGGAAAAAGCAGTCTTTAATAGAAAATAGAGTTTAGAACAACAAACCGTTTTGAAATATTTTAGTACAACTTCAACTTCATTTGCATGACTTCCAAAATCCAAAAGATCAAGTGGTAAAATAAAGATGTCTTCATTCCCAATACATGGATTTTCTGAAATTAAAATACTGATGAGAGTCTGGATGGGGGTCTTTCATTTCTTTAACTTTATATGCCATTTTTATCTTTTCTTTATTTTAATTTACATAAAATTCTCTATTCTTTTCAGTATCTCATTACGCTCTATTCTTTTTATTTATTTATTTATTTATTTATTTATTTATTTATTTATTTATTTATTCATTTATTTTTTATTTTTTTTTATTTATTTATTTATTTATTTATTTATTTATTTATTTATTTATTTATTTATTTATTTATTTATTTTTTGGATTATTTTTTTTCTATTCTTTATTTTCTTGCCCTTTTTCTGCACCTTTAGCCCATAATTATCTATTCTGTAAACCCGATCTAGACCCTCGCTGATGTTTAAGACAATTTTGTGTGTAATAAAAATAATCAAAGTTGCATATATCAAAAATAATGCACTAATAAACGACAGAGCTGTAATGCAATAGTTCTTTTTGTCTGCTAATGGATGTATTTGATGTAAACATAATAATAGTAATGAAATACGTCTAAGGATACGGAATGTAGCAAACACTACATACTGGGACTATTATTAAGCTACATATCGTTTGGCAACTGAAATTTTGTTTCGTTAGAAATGTATTTAAACGACACAAATAAAAAATTACAAAAAACTATAACATTAGATGTATGTTGTTGGAATGATTACAGTGAGATCATGCGTCGGGAAAACAAGGTTATTAAATGTATTGTAAAAGAAATTTACGTTTTAGACATTTATCTTTGACTTGTTTTAATCTATCTTCTCTTCTTGCTGATAATATAAGTTTGCATCCAACTGATGATAACTGATAGGCCAGGGCTTCTCCAATTCCACTGGATGCTCCCGTTATCCATACCACTTTGCCTTTCAGTGATGCTGCAATAATAAGAAATTATTTCAGATCCCTCAAACAATGACAGCTTTATTCAGATGTATGAATTTGATAAGGCTACAAATGTATAGAAATGTCTGATTATTTTCCATTTGTTTTCCAAATTGATTTGTATTTTCAATTTGTAAATTTCAAGATTGCACGTTTTTCAAAGATCTTTCAGGGCTAAACCAATTTCACTATTACATAACTGATGAAACAAAGATGACTTTCCGTTCAAAACATGATGAAAATAAATGAATCACATACGCCCACGTAAATAGGATATATACTAATACAAGAAAAATTCTAATTTGGGTGCGTTGATAAAAAATCATATTTCACGATCTAACTCCTTCTAATAACAGTATTGTCGTCATTTAAAGAGATTAGAACGTGAAACATGATGTTTTACATACTTTACGAGAAAGCGTGTAAAAACATAAGCGTAAACAAGAATCAAGTGCTCTATGCAAAATAATATTTCTGCAATTTTCTTTAAAGCAGCCATATATATTTTGAGAGATTTCTTTTTTTTTAACAGATTTAATTTAGAAATTCTGATACGATATTATAATTCTATCCTTATATATAGCTATAATATCATATAAACTGTTTCCATGATGATATACAGAAACCCCTTCTTTTGAGCAAGGGGATCCCGTGACCATGGCCAACTCACCAGACGTAGAAGCACATATCAAATAAAAATATTTTAGAAAATTAAAACGTTATATGAAAAAGATTTCATATAGAAACCAAAATTTAGAAGAATTTCATGTTATTTACAGTTGTCCTTATAGCAACTAACGATGTACTTTCGTCCTTTCTTATTTTCAACAGCTTGAATAAGTCTTCATGTTCACTGGTGTTAATATGTCCTTTGATAGTGTTAAGCTATTTCAGTTGATATTTTATAGTGTGTCTTTCTATGTTGGGATGTTACACTATTGTTTCAGAAAAAGGGTGAAGGTTTGGTACCATTAAAACGTTTAAACCCGCTGCATTTGTTTGCACCTGTCCTAAGTCAGGAATCTGATGTTCAGTAGTTGTCGTTTGTTGATGTGGTTCATAAGTGTTTCTCGTTTCTCGTTTTTTATATAGATTAGACCGTTGGTTTTCCCGTTTGAATGGTTTTACACTAGTAATTTTTGGGGCCCTTTATAGCTTGCTGTTCGGTGTGAGCCAAGGCTCCGTGTTGAAGACCGTACTTCGACCTATAATGGTTTACTTTTATAAATTTTGACTTGGATGGAGAGTTGTCTCATTGGCACTCATACCACATCTTCTTATATCTATCTTCATTAAGAAATCCCCCAGAATCAACAGATTGCAACTAACATTTCTTTATTTTCAGTCTATTTTAGCAGTTGTGACTACGACCTTGGCCTTCTAACCTGAAAAATTGATTGAATTTGTTCCCTTCCGTATAACTACCATCTGTACTAGTTTCAATTTAAACCAACAAATGAAGCTTAAGTTACCATCCGCAAACCCTTTTTCCAAACATTAAGATTTTAGTAAGATCAGAATGACCATGAACTTTGACCTATTAGCTCCAAAATCAATTGGCTTCTTTTTTTCATCTGTTTCAGTTTCGTTCCAATTATGGAAGGAAAATCGGATGACTATCAGAAAAAAAATAGTTGTTTAAAAAACTAGTAACAGTGACTTTGAACATTTACCTATTACCTCAATCCTCAATAGAATCACTCCGTCCCTATATTTTCCATCTATTTAAGTTTCGTCACAAATAATCAAGGAAACCTTAAGTTTACATCCGGAAAACATTAGTTACGGAAACACGGGCAGACGACTTCTATCTGCTCCCGAAAACTTTTATTCGGGGAACATGATTGAAGAAGACAAGGGGTAAACGTCAACGAGACAGACACCCAACAAAAAAAAATAACAAAAAAGAAGTCTATAAAGCAAAATAAAATCTTCAACAATAGACAGGTGTCCAATCATCCAGATTCTCGTGGAAGTTTTGAATAAATTTAATACAAAGTATCAATGAATTGCCATTATCACCCAATTCTCTTAAAAAGACATTAAAATGTGACTTATATGACAAGCTCTTACTATCGGGGTTCATGTCTAGGGACATGCACATGAAAATATGGCGTGGTAAAACTTGCATTTTCAGATCTAAACCTTTTTAATTTCGATCAGTGGATTAACAAGACCTAACTATCAAAACTAGTACAGGCAATCACTTAACTTTAAATTAACGGTATAATAGATAACAAAAACACAACATAAATATGACATTTTACAAAAGTTTAAAAAAACATTTCGTGACGATTTTAGACGTGTATTGTCCGAAAAGGGCATTATTTTGATAACGTCTTGAATGCAGATATTCGTCTTTTCTAAAGAAGATTATTTTGCTTAGATATTAGAATATTATCTGCTGTATTTTACATGTAATTAACTATTTACCTGGCGTCTGTCCGAACTTACAGTACCATTGTAAATGAAGATCACAGTCGCTTAATAATATTCTTATTATTTGTATAAATAATAATACCAGTCCAAAAACAACTAACAAGTCAAACATTGTGTCTGAAATTATAAAAATAAAAGCTACTGGATCAAGAAGGTCGAAGATGCAAAAAATGCTAATCCTGGTATCTTTGATGGGTTTATTTACAACCACTGGGTCGATGCCACTGCGGTAGAGGTTTCCTCCTCGATGGTATCACCAGCCTAGTTGTCAGCAATTCTGTACGTGGCATGGTTTATCATTGATATGGTCATAATTATAAATTAATTTGGAATTGTTCGAAATAGTACTTACGATTTTCTACCCAGGAATAGATTACCTTAGCTGTATTTGACAAAATCTTTCTGAATTTTTGGGTCCTCGATGCTCTTCAACTTCGTACTTTATTTGGTCTTTTTAGCTTGTTTGATTCGAGCGTCTCTCAGTGATCAGTCTTTTGTAGACGAAACGCGCGACTTGCGTACAAATTTTAATCCTATTATCTATGCTGAGTTTATTTACAACCACTAAGTCGAAGTCACTGCTGGTGGAGGTTTCATCCCTTCATCCCCGATGGTATCAGTAGTTCAATAGTCAGCACTTTAAATTTGTATTGGCATGAATTATAACTGATATAATTATGATTATATATCAACTGTTTAAAAAACTTTGATTTTTAGAAATACTAAGGATTTTCTACCTCAGGAATAGAATACCTTTGCTGTATTTAACAAAACCTAGAATTGAGAATGGAAATGGGGAATATGTCAAAGAGACAACAACCCGACCAAAGAGCAGACAACAGGCTGAATTGGTGTCCTTAGTGCTTTTCAATTTCGTACTTTATTTGGCCTTTTTAACTTGTTTGATTCGAGCGTCACTGATGAGTATTTTGTAGACGAAACGCTCGTCTGGCGTACAAACTTTTACTCCTGGTGTCTATGATGAGTTTATTTGCAACGTTAATTGTCTTGAACAGCACTTAAGTTATAAGTATAAAAGATTATAAAATGCATTGGAAACCGAAATACATGTATTACAATCAATATGGAACATGGAATCCCGTCTGATCAATACAGTACTCCACTGACAATCATGATTTGAATTTACTCAGTCACATATCCCGCATCCGTCTGACGTTTTTGTCAAAAGCTACTGGATAGTATTTCGGTACAGTATAATGAATGATGCATATAAGGAGCAGGATTTTTAGCCTCAATCCAGCCTCAGTTCGTATGGAGTTCATGCATTGTTCCAACTTCTTATACTACCATGTCTGTCTATATAGCAACTGCTTGACATCGGTAAAACTACCTCGATTATAATGTTATATAAAAATATCAAAGGACATACGGTATGATTGCTAATGATACAGCTGTCCACCAAATTGAATGTTCACATAAAGTGGATGTTTATAACTGTCCTTACATAAGTAAAGATTAGTAGACAATGCCCATAAGCAAGAAAAATATCAATATATACTATAAATGGTTTGCTTACTTCTACCTTTGACGCCTTGTAAATAAACTCAGTTATCGGCCATGGGTTCAAAATGATATCATTCGAAGTTCCTTTCCCGCGAATTATAAATTTACAGCAGTTAACAATTGCATATCTATAAATATTTCTTCATTTTTCATTGTAATAATGTCATTGTAAATTACAAAAAAAAACAGCTTCATATAAGTATTATTCATTTATATGATATAGTTAAACATAAATACTATCAATTTGACATCTTCACTAAGACACTAAAGAAAGATATATAACCGGTGTTGAATGTCGACATTTATTTTTCTTATTTATAAACTTCGTAAAATTAAAAAAATATATAGTATAACTGTAAATTATTTCTCTTTATGTATCTGTTTTGTGCATTGAATTGGCTGAATTGTCCAGTAATTTGTATTCTCCGTCTAAGAATTAAGAGGGGAATTATGTTTTCGGTGAGCATCCATTCGTCTGTCCATCAGTCCCGTTTAATGTAGTTTTGGTCTTATCAACTTGAAACCGTTTGTACACATGGTTATTATGAAGTGAACTGTTTATATATTTTGCCAAATTAGGGTTTTGAACACGAGTTCACTGCTCATTGACCACAATAAGATAGTGCGAGAGATACATATAGTGTTCTATATGGACGCATATTCTTGTCTGATATTTCATTTGTATTGATTCTTTATACAATATATGTTATTTGGAATTTTTGTTGAAAAAAGATTATCGTTAAAGGACTTCTGAAGAAAGAAAAACGTGTTTTTTGTTTTTGTTTTGTATTCCAAACTCGATTTTTTAAATGCAGACGTTGTGGAAAACCATTCACAGAGAAACTCTAACAAATGAATAAAACGTGGTACCCGTCAATGAGACAACAATCAAAGAACGTATTACCAGAAATCATGAGAACACACAGTATTTTTTTCATTTTAATTCTTTTAATTCTTATTTATCATTTTTTTTATTGTAGCTAAGACATTCACAATTAATAGCATTCTCATATTACAGAGAGAAAACTGTTTTAGAGGATACATATAATAAAAACAAACAAACAACCAAGGTTTTTAAATTTAACGTTATATGTAACATTTTTGTGACGAGAAATACATAAAATACCTAGATGTATTGTCCTTAATGGTACCTCATTGTTTCTCAGGGAACTGATTAAACATGTGATTAGGAATGATCCAATGAAAACGCTCGAGAATGCTTCAATATGGCCGACCTTATGGCCGGAAGTTGGTAATTTTCTAATGCGAAGTTTGAAAATGCATCAAATTAGTCTTTTACTGTGTTTTATTTGTTTCATAAATACACTTTTCTGATAGTTCTCCTTAAGCTATAGGTATATACATTTAAAAGAAGTGACTAAAGTTTTATTAAGACACTATAGATCACATTTTACTACCAGTGGGGTACCTCAACGTCTCCTTTACCTGTTTACACTTAGGTGTGTACTGTCATAACCCGATATCATATAATGTTGTCCTAATTGTTGTACCATACATGACTATCCTCCGTGGACGTTGATAAATGCAAGAAGGATTAATCATAAATCTACTATGAACTTGAATTTAAGAGCACATTTAAAAACCAATTATGGCATTGATTTCCAGAATTAGCCTTATAACTAGGGGTTTTGAGCCCTGAAACCAGTTTACTCTCAAGCATGTTTAATCAAAATATTTTTCATACAAGAAGTCTTGTATTGATAATGATGTTGATAAGTTATTGCTTTTCTAACTTCCCAAATTTTATATGCAAGTTGACCATTTCACATCATATTACAATCTATGACTTTTCTTCACAGTATCGAGACCGTTCACCCTAATAACATATTTGCCCTGGGTGCTTTCGCCCTACTTTTATAAAAAATTATAGATATTAATGGTATGAATATAAACTTATTCAGATATTTGTATGGTAAACATTTCAGTTGTTTTACATCTATAATATCTTGTATTCTTGTACACTTCATTGCATATCGGAGAAAAAATAATTATATGGTACTAGCATTACTTCTTCTTCTTCTTAGTATCAGCCTCCTTTAATTAGGAGCACCTCCAAATATGTATGGAGTTTTGCCTTAACTTTAAAATTTAAAAGGATAAAACAAAAATGTTCTTTTTCCAACATATGTACAGCACATATAAATAAACAATAAAAGTGTCATGCAAGGCATATTTACATGGACCTTTTTGTTATAAATTAGTCTACCATACAAGTAGATTCACTTACATGTATGTATGTATCTCAGTTTTATTTATAATTAAAAATATGTTTCATTTGAATTTGCTTTTTAATATGCATAAAAGATACATTAAAAGGAGGTTATATTTAATAAGATCTATATACTAAAATAATAAGTTAAGATGTAAGAATTTAGTAAAATCTAAAAAGGCAGGGTTTCTCAGTGGAATGTTATATGTACTTCATGATCAATGTATATAAAAATCATAATAAAGTAATAGAAGCTTGTTTTGTCGCCATCAGTAAATTTAAAAGGATATATACATGATATGGACCCTATCATAAATGTATTAGTGAGTTAAAAAATAGGAATGCTTATTAATTATTTAAATTTCTTACAATTATTAAATGACAGACTCTGTGTTGGTATATATATGTCACTTATGATAATCATTATTTTCATTTGATTGTCATTTCCTCCACTTAAAGATATATGTATATTTATATACGTATATATATATGCAATATGTGTCTTGCTATTTGTTGTCCATAATTTTCAATCTTTCTATATGCATTTGGAATAACATATTTCTGGTTTTGCTTTCAATATTTTCCATGAATTTTTCACAGTTATCAAATAGCTCCTTATATTTTGAACAGTCTATTAGCAGTTGTACTATCGCAGTTTTGTTCATGAAGGTGCAGTTCCATTTTGCTGGTGTGATTTTATCAGTGATCTCTTTTCTTATATCAAGGAAATATTTTTCTCTCGTAGTACTAAGTATGGGACAGGTTGTCAGGAAATGAGTTATGTCTTCATTGTCAGTTTTACATAATTGGCATATTGGTTCTACTGTATAGGGAGTGAATTTATGTTTGTCTGCCTGAAGTATGTATGTTCCAGTTATCATTCTTGTCTTGATTATTGCTTTTCTAAGTTCAAAACGAGGCAAATGCTTTACTTTCCAGACTTTATGATGTTTATTGATCTCGAAGTTTTCCTTATTCATAAACTTTAAGCTAGATTTACTTTCAGATTCTGTTAAGGTCTTGTCCTTCCAAAATTTGTCTATTGTCAGCTTGATGGTTCTTTTCCAATGTTCTTTCTTTGGAACATTGCCTTGAAGTTGTATAATGGTTGGAAGTTCATACATATCAAATATATCCATAACTCTTGAAAAGAAGCTACTTTTGTTATCAAAATTTGTTGTTATTTGTCTTTCCATAAGCTGATGTATTTTTTCATTTTCGCATGTTAGTAGTGCATGTAGGAGAGACAAAGCTCTTTTATGAATTTCTGCTTCTATTGGTAGAGCTCCTAACAGTAGTAACACTGCCGAATTAGCGGTTCTTTCTGGAAGAGATTGTAACTGGCGAAGATTTTTTCTATGAAATTTTTCCAACTGTTCGATATCAGATCTTGTTAGAGGTAGCACTTCTAGTCCATAAATTAACCTTGGAATGACATAGGTTTTGTAAATTTGATATGAGGTTGGTGGGTCTAGACCGTTTGTACCATGACAGCCTGATCCCATGAGGGCGTATTTAGTTCTTCTTGCTAATTTTATTCTCTCTTGTACATTTATGTGACTTTCGTTGCTTTCAGCTCTCGTTATTCCTAGGTGTACACCTGATTTAGCTATTGTTACATCATTTCCATCTAGTTTCCAGTTGTAATCACTTTTTGTTTTGGAACAATCTATGATTTGGGTTTTTGTTGGATGTATACTGTAGTGGTGTTCGTTTGCATATCTACCGAGCACATTTAGCATTAGTTGTAGTTCATGCTTGTCATTCGATATAAAGGCTATATCGTCGGCGCAAGTTGGTGATCCTACGTATATATTTCCTAACTGGTATCCTATTGAATTTTGTTCCAATTCTACCAGAAGATCTTGGACAAAGATTTTGTATAGATGGGTTGATAGAATTCCTCCCTGTCTTACACCTTGTTTAATTTGGAAAGGATTACTTATGCCATCAAGCCATTTAACTTTTGTAGTCAAGTCAGTATATAGGTCTGTTAGTATTTTCCAGTATATTGGATGGATTTCTTGATTAAGCATTTTATCCATCAGTATAGTGTGTTGGACTACATCAAATGCTGATTTTACATCTAGAATGTTTATATAGAAATTGTCATTCCCCTTTTTTTTCTCATATCTAGCTTCTGAAATGATTAAGCTTGCCATGATTGGCGATAAACCTTTGGTGAATCCAAATTGGAGGTCTGTTTTTGGTTCTATCATCAGTTTGTTTAGAAATGAGTATTCAAAGGTTTTCCCAGTTATTGGTGTTACTGTTATGCCTCTATAGTTACTCGTCTCTGTTGGGTCTTTTTCTTTCTTTAGTACTGGTGTAAGTATACCAGACTTGAAAAATATTGGTACCTTTCTGTATATTAGAATGTTGTTAAAAATTGCCTTCATTGCTGGTGCTATAGTACTCTTAGCATATTTAAGATGCTCAGCTGTAAGTCCAAATTCATCCGGACTTTTTTTGGTGTTGAGGCAATCTATTGCTTTCTCTATGTCCGTGTCTGTAAAGAGTTCAGGATTGTCTTCGTACTCTTCTAAAGCCTCTTGTACATAGCTTTGTCGAATTTTGCATAGATTAAGATAGGAATTGTCATATATTTCTTCTTTTGGGACACTGAGATCTTCATAATATTGTGCAAATCTTTTTCTTTGATCTTCATGACAAAAAATATACTCTCCATCTATTTTCAGACAGTTGGTTGTAGTTCGACTGTTGCTTCTGCCTCTATTTATCAGTCTGTAAAATAGCTGAGTATTCGGATTATCCATTATTTGTTGGTAAAATGTTTGTCTTTCTATTGCATGTTCTGCTCTTTGCTTACTTCTCAGTTTCTTTTTCTCATTTTTTAATTCAATTGCTAGGTGGTGTTCTTTTGGTTTCCCTATGTCTTGCCATTTCTTATATATTTCCCTACATGATTTCAAAATTGTAAGTACTTCTGGCGAGGCTTTCCATTTTGGCCCTTTAGTTTGTAACAGCTTAGTTGGGACTGTTCTTTTTCCTGCCTTAGTTAGTGTTTCCATTAATACTTTTAATTGAATATTGACATCTTTTTCCTCTTCAATCGAATTGATATCCTGCTGTATAGCGTTGTTGTAGCTCTCTTTGTCTATTTGCTCCCAAAGCATTTTGAATTTTGCTTTGTTGTTTTTGTTACTTGAGTTTCTGATATTTGTCATCTGGCAGGCTATTTCCATCTTTACAATTGAATGTGCAGATGTATTTACACTTGATTTTTCCTCAATTTTATATTCTGTAACTAACTTTTTGTCTTGTACAAGTATATAATCTATTTGTGAGGATGAATTTCCAGCATGATGAAAAAAGGTATGGGTATTTTCTATTTCAACACCAGTAGTCAAGTTTACATCGCCAATAAATTTTCTTAGTATTTTATCATGCTTGTTTGCTCTGGAAGTTTGTAATGTACCATTTAGATCTCCTGCTAGCACTATTTTGTGTGTATTTTCATACTTCTGTATTATGTCAAAAATAATGTCCAGACACTCCATATATTCATGTTGTGAATTCGTTGTATGTGTTGGCATGTAGGCATTGATAAGGCATATATCATTGGTTGATGTAATATTAACTGCTATAACCCTCTCATTTCCATCTTTTAGTTTTTTAATTTTGCTGGACCATTGTAATGGCCAGAGTATGGATACTCCTCCCTTTCCTTTCGGTAACTTGAAGCTATCCAGAGGATCATTTGTATCGGAACATCTAGTATGATCTTCCATTGTTGGAATGAGTTTTTTTACTTCTTTTTTTTGAAAGTCCCATAGGAAATGCTCTTGTAGACATAGTATTGTATTTGAGAGATCTAAAGAGTGAAGATATGCAATATTGGTTTTTAATCCTTCAATATTGCATGTTATGATGTTTATGTTCTTACTTAAATTTCCTGATGGTTTGTTTTTCTTTCTGATAATTCTGGGGGTAGTCCTTTTTGGCTTGTGATCCGAAAATGGTGACCATTATTTGAAGATTGCTGCAGACCCATTAGATTGGACTCATCTTGTATATAATCTTCCTTTTGTACCCTGTTGGGTTTGTTGTTTATCTCTTCACTGACATTTTGAATTACTTCAGTTTCAACATTTTGTTCACAGT